CTCCTGCTGTTTATTTTCTACTTAAAGTCTCAGATGCCATATGATCGATGTTACCAATCTAGACAGATCATAAAAATCCACTATAACATAACCACCTCCAAAGTCAAATACATTATGATATGCAAGGTTATGACTTCAGATGGAGAGTTACCAGAAAGAACAGATGAACTCTTTGCTAAGTCCTACTGTCATACAAAATGCCACATTCTGAAATGTGATGCTGTAAAAATACATTTTGGTTCTTAAGTTCCACCTTGCAAACCTGCCCTGAAACTGAAATTCCTCCTATGTTCTGTTATATGCATCATTACTAGGTAGCCTTGATAAAATGGCGGTGTATTACAATGCATGGTGTATTACAATGCATGTCTAGTTCAGTCACAATGGTCATATGCATCTCATGATGCATGAAAACAGAGGTTCATTTTCATATCCTTGCTTATGATGCTTGAGCTGAGATAGCATTCAGTTTTGCTTCCACAGCTGAACTAGGATCTGTAGTGCACAAACGGAAGGGAAGGGAGAAGCAGACACAAAACATGGATATATTTCTCAGATTTTCCATGTCACATTGGGAATTACTTTCATAACTCTTTCCATGGCAGTTCCCTGTGCTTGTAATACAATATCCTAAATTGACTATGCCAAAAATAAATGAACATTTATAGCATCTGTTGTTAATATTTAGCATCTAGCCAGCACAAGCTGGGTAAGTCCTTTTCTGTAAATGATATAGTTTAGAGACAATAGCAGCAACAATGACTACGTCTTCTGTCACACAATTCTGCAAAGTTGCATGGTATCTGCCCCTACTGTTCACCCTCAAGCTCCAAAGGTCATGTTCTTATAGAACTATCTGTAACCTAGAAACCTAGAAATAATCTTAGCCTATTACTTTTATGACAAGAATCATAGAAAGGACCCCTGGAAACCTTTGGAGATTATCTCCAATTATTCCTGTGTCCTTGCAAAGGATATTGTGAATTCATTATTAAAAACTTTTAGGAGTAGCCTATGTAATCTATTCCAGAACTTCTTTACCCCCATGAATTTTTCTCTCATGTCTAATGTGAATTTTTCCTGATGAAGTTTAAGCTCATTTCTTTTTTGACTTATCCACCATGGCAACAGAGAACTGATTCTTTTCTTTCTCTTTGAGACAATATTTTATGCATCTTAAGGCAATTTTTAGTTTCTAAATAAATCTGTTTCTTTACACCTTCTCTCACAGGTCGTATTTTCTGACCTGTGATGATGTTCGCTGTTATCCTCTGAACACTTTAATAATTTTTTCTTGAATTCCAGTATCCAAAACTTGATGCTTAGGTTTTACTGGTGTTGAGTGGACGTAAAAGATTAGTTTTTTGTACTTTGCAGGTCATACAGCTACAATATTATAATTTCTCAACAAGAATATCATTACTGAGTTATGTTCACCTGGTGATATGTTGTAAACAACAGATCCCTCCTTGAAGAATAGGTAACTAAACAGTTGTTCCTTGTTTGTTGAATTGACCACTCCTTTCAAAGTGTAAAATCTTATAGTTGACCTTTAGATTGCAGCATATTTTTGTATTATTCCTCTCATCTTGCTGTCTGTTGTCCACTTCCAATTTAGTGTTATCTTTATTTCATCATCTAATTTCTTAATGAATAAACTGAATAGAAAATGTTGAATATATCTGCCCCTAATATATTGGATTAAGTAATATTTCATTAAAAGAGGTACTCTTTCATCCTTGGCTTTTTACCTCATTTCCCATTTGCAAGAGAAAATTCCTTCATATGCTAACATTTATATTTAATTACAGCATCATGTTTTCAAAAAGTAGACTTTTATTCAAAAAATACTTTGGGTTTGTTTCAGGATGTATTGCTTATTGTGATTTAAATTTTCTGTTGAATAAAATTTCCCTCTCCTGCATCTTCTGCTATGCTGAATGCTAAGTCCTTCTGTTCTTCTTAGCAACTGCTTATTGCCCATGTTATGAATAAAAATTCTGCTGGGAATAGCTGGGAGGTCTATCAGGTTATCTGTGACTACTGCACTATTACAGACCACTGCATGAAATAATTACCTGCTCTGCCTCATGATATTGCCATGAGTAGCCTTAATGAGAATGTAATGAACATCATACAGCACATTCAGGAAGTCTTCCCGGGATACAGCTCTACTTGGTCTTGAGTCATCTCCATAATGCTTCCAGGTGAAATCTGCCTGGGACACTGTCCTGTTCATACCTGGGTCATCACGATAATATTCCCAGGGCACAGCGTTTCTGACTCTTTGGTCATCACCATAATATTCCCATTCATGCTGAAAAACAGTAATACAAAACCAGATTATTAACAGTATTAAAAAGAAGCAGGTGCTTAAGTTCTGGGGAAAAAAGCAGAAGGAAGCGTTACCTCCGTCATCTCTATCTCATGCCTTGTCAGCTGCCCGATCAGAGGGGCAGCCATATGCCGGACAATAATTCTCGTGTGGGTGGGAGGCCCGCCTCTTATGATGACTTGTGGGTAGTAAGTAGTAAAACCTGTCTCTTCTCGTGCTTCAAAGTAGATTGCATATTTCAGTTTCCCTCCATAAGCAGCCAGCTAACAAAGCAAAAATGAAGGTAGGAAAAGAAATCTCATTTTCAGTTAGCTAAAGATAAATTCCCGGGGATATGTAGGAGCTAGATACACCCTGCACCTGTGCGCAGACTGATGAATCAGTGTGTGGTAGAAAATAGCAAAATATACTTGTGAAACTATCTGGGGACAAGGGCTGTGTTCAGAAATACCCAGCAGCAATTTGTTATTGTACTATCCTAAAACCAAAATGTTCTCTATTAGTTTATATGTGCCTTGGTGCTCCCCAAAGTTTGTGTTTAGAGAAAGAAACATCTAAACTTTCCCAAACCGAATCAAGAAATATCAAAAGTGCAAAACAAATCATCACAGAGGCACATAACAATATCCAAAAGGAGGCTTATTTCAATCATTTTCTCCTGTCTAACTTAAAACAACAGGCATTTTTTGTTTAAAATTGAGAGAAACAAAAATTAACAAGGGAGTTATATTAAAGTAATGCAGCTTAATTTTTCAAACAACATTTTTACAAGGGAATCTACCCTGTGGAAAAATATTACATGTTACTGTCTGTAAACATCTACTTTAATGTAGTGTTTATGCTACAGATTTATGAATTTTCCTGATAATGGAGTAAATAATTTTTAATAATGGAATGGCATTTATTTTCTTTTGAAGTATCTTCCACTGTATGATGACAAGCTTATTGGAAGGGAAAAAAGGTATTGCAAAATACACATATAAGATAAAAAAAAAAAAAAAAAATCCATGTCAGTATTCAGTGGAATTTTATGTTTACCTTTTGTCCCTCAAACTGTTCTGCAAGTCTCCAGTAAACAGGTTCTGACCGAAGATCCCGCATCACCTGTTCTATATCTGCTACTATTTCAGGAGGCTGGAATGCAATCCCTGAAAGAGTGCTGCTCTGAAGCTTTATATCCACCAGTGGCAGAATCATTTGCTCCGGCTTCAAGGTCACCTATGCATATTAAAAAAAAAAAAAAATCAAGAAGAAAATAAAGTCTATTTTTCCCCATGAAGCTTTAGTCTTTAAATTCTAACTCTTTAAAAAATTATTTCCAGGTAATTTCATTTCACATCATGAACAATTTGTCACAAACAGACTTACTACTCCTTCAGGTATAAACAGTGATAATAATGACTTCCCCCTCAAGCCTTTTGCACCTTGTCCTCATGTTAACAAAGAACATACTAGCACTGGTTAAAACAGTTTTATCAGCAAGTGATTCCATTAATTTTATTGAAGCGATTTTCATAGTGCTATTCTAGTCTCGGGTCTCTTCTGTTTGGATTGTGAGAAATGTACCTTACAAAGCAGCATACTTGTCACCAACACTTATACATCACTGGGGCTGGGGTACACAGTGCCTGATCCCTTGGTACTTTTACGCAGCATTTAAGCTAAGTGTTCTCCGAGCAATATGCAGAGAGTGAGGGCTCAGGGTTTCTGTAACTCCAAATTCAGATTTAATGAAAAATGTAAGGATGCCACTTAGATACCTGTAATTTTCTTAGACTTGTTGAAAGACTCTCAGTAGCATTATATAGAAATCATTGTTTTGATCAATAACTGTAATAAGAGTCTTAGTAATTCCGTGCAGATGAAAGTATCACAGGAAGTGTGTGAACAAATGCAAAGAGTTGGTATCAAAATTGCTTTCTCCCAAGGAGCGAGGAAAACAAAGAAAGCAAATGCAGAGTCATATCTCTAACAGTCATCCCATTAACAGGCTTTTCATGAGATAGGGATCAGGTAATGAGGAATCACCCAAGCTCTGCACTGGACTTTAAGCATCTTAGTATTTCCATTTACAGCAGCATCTTTGGACTGACCAGACACGGAAGCATTCCTAACATTTCCAGCCCTAAGTGAGATTTCCTGAATTCCTATCATAACTGTATTTTACTGTTTACTACTTTAGACATCAAGAAAGTGGTCAACACATTTGAATTTCAGATCAGCCTTCCCTTATTGTCATGTAAGACAGGATTTGCTTGTCTAAACATGTCTAATGCTATTTGAAGCACCTGAGAGTATCTGAAATAGCCACCAGCAGCTGGCAGAATCCAGTCTCACTCAGTTTACAACTCTGAATCAATTCTGAAATAGATCAGAGTATTGAAAACTAGATGAGATGTGGACATAGACTTGTTTAGATATGAGCATAAATACAAAAGGAAATTAATCAAGAGACAAAAAATAATCAGGAGGTTTAAACTATGTTTCTGGTTTGTGTTACCACAAAGGTCAAAACACAATTTTCCGGAACTGTTGCTGTCATGGAACTTGATTAAATTTTATAACTTGTCAGCCTTTTACAGCCTTTCATCTCCAGCCTACCAGCATATGATAGGCAAAATCGAAATAATGAGAAAAACTGGGTCAGATCATGATAAATCACTTCATCCACTGGGAAGGGAAAGAGGTGCTATTGGACTGAACAATGAAGGTGAGAATGGGTGCTATGCATATTACTTTAACCAAAAGATATGAACTCTTTAGTAAGATTGTAATCAAGTAACCTTGACTTCAGCCTGAAGTACCCTTATCCAATGGATGCTTGGGCGTGAAACAATTTTTCTAGCAGATATATGACTGACCATACATGGGGACTGAACTAGCCATTTTCCATTAGAAACAGCTCCTCCAGAATGCAACTGAGGAGCTGGCACAGCAGTGACGGATGGCAGCGGTCTCAATGTGTGTTTTGTGCTTGTTGTATAGATGAATGGAGACATCCAGTCTGTCTTGTCAGTCTAGCATGGGTCTCAAGGCCCTCTTCAACCAAAAGGTGGAGAGCTCTTTGTTTGCTCTGATGGATTACACCCTCCCATTCTTTGATTTCAATAGAGCTTTAATAAGCTCTTTTTTTTAATATTAAAACAACACAACAAAACAACAATGAAAATTAAATAGATTAATTGAACCATGGGAAATCTATGCTGGACAACAAGCATCTGTGACCCTTGAATACACCTGCATAAATTGTGTATCATATACCAGAGATTATGTTACAATGCACTGGACTGCATAATTTCCCCACACAACTAGCTTGCCCTTTTCTGGGTTTTAATATCTTTGGCTTGACGTCAGCTATCCTATCCCTGGTTTGCGTATCTACTTATTTTCTTTCAATGCCTGGACCCTGCTTGTCTAATGGAACATATCACTCTCTCCACTTCTCAAGGTATAAGGAGGAAAAAGATTGCTTAAATGTTTGGCCATTTTCTTGCTACGTCTCAGTGCCTGACTAAAAGATGCCAGCAGGAAACAACATTATCGCATTACATGGCTCAGCAGTTTCCTACTCACCCACACGCGAATCAGCCCCCTTGCCTCACTGCACTGTGTAGTCAGGCCAAAGCAATAGCAACTGCTGCAGCCAAGTGGGTTTCTGGCAGAGAGACCAAATGTACCAGACTTGCACCTGTCACAGTGGACACCTTCCACATTAACCTGGAAGAGAAAGAACATTTAAAAAATAAAACAAAGCAAAAAAAAAAAGAAAAACAAAGAAAAAAAGAAAGCTTTCTTTCTAGGCAGTAATAAGAAAATCATACAGTAATGATAATAACAGGGTGCAGAAAGAAATAATAATGAGTGTAAAGAAATATTCAAGGAACTTTTCAGCTTCTTATCAAGTGTGTATGCAAACATATACAATTAATGTAATTGAGGCATTTGCATTTGTATGAACTGAGTAGCTCTGAGCAATGGATGCTGGCTTCATACTGACAGTTGTAAACACAGAAAAATCAAATGGCATGTTGAGCATGACAAGCTCAATAACTGATTGATAAGATAAGAAAAAAAATGTCCTCCTGAAATTCCAGGGTTAATCAAGCCTTTTGTTTAATAGGAATTAGTTTTGACAAGTTAGAATTTTTAAGGTACAGTACTAAATGTTTTTGCTGAGAAACATATTCTAATGGAAATATTGCAGAGAAAAGCTTTCCCCTCTTCCTGAATGTTTTCCACATCATTGAACAGTATTAACAAGGCTGAAATGTTTCACTGTTGTAATGTCAATGCTTTTATTTTCATTTTTCAATTAGATGAAATAAAAAGCTATACTAGATAGGGCCAGATACACAATAATTTATGCATAGCCTTTTAAAACCATTTTCATAGTGAGACCGAGGTATTTAAAAAAACCAACAATATGAAAGCACTGGGTGGCTTTTCCTCCCCCTTTTTTTTCTCTTCAGAGTAATGTGAAGAAGCCAATCAAAAAAACAAATTCAACTTTCCAAAGCTTATACAGGAAATCAACATTACCCCCAACGATTTAATATTTTTAATCCTCATTTCCACATGTAAGTCTACCAGCAAGTGTGCCTACACTGTATTTAGCTTAGATTTTGCTGCTTTTTGTCAGGGCTGATAAAGGGGCTCCTGCTATAACAGCAGGTTTAAATGGGAACGATTACCATTTTATTAAAATCTAGCTTCAAAAAACTTACACAAAAGGTTAACCAACCCGAGATTTAAATTCAACCTTAGATTTAAATTCTGGGGGAAAAAAATCTGCTGACTTAATTCGGTATTATTTGTCCATTCTCTGTCATAAATTGTGAATTTTACTTGCTTTGCATTTTGTTTCATGTCAATTGCAATTTTTTATCATTAATCATCATCTAAATATATACTGTTAATTCGCACTTACAGAATGGTAGAAGTAACTACAGGAGCCTTAACAGAATCACAAATAAACATTTCTATTTAAAAATGCCATAAACCTCCATTCTTTCTACTTAGTGCTTACAAGAGCTACAAGAAAGACAGTGACATACTGGACCTAATCCAGAAAAGTGGCACCAAGGTGGTTAGAGGGGTTGGAGCACATCACATATCAGGAGAGGCTGAAAGAATTGAAATACTTCTATTTTTCCATTTCAGAGGACGACACAGGACAAATAACATTGATCATTGCACTGAGTTTTACTCAGGTTGTCCATGTGATCTACTCACTTCAGTTTTCCTATGGTCTCACCATCAAATGAATCAGTATTTGCGAAATAGAACGTGATGTTTTCTGTTCAAATCCACCAGAAAAACAGGAGGGTGGTCAAGTAGTTTGCACAAAGAGGTTGTGAAATCCCCATCCTTGGAAATACTGCCTCAGCAATGTCTTTCAAACAAGACACTGGACTAGATGACATCCATAGGTCCCTTCCAATCTAATTTGTTCTACAGTTGCTCCATTAAGTCTATCCTTTAAACTCAGAATGAAGTGACTTGTGCCCATTTAACAAAAGAATTACCTGGCAATTCAATCATTATATTCATCCTTCCATTTTACTAGCTCTTTGGGTCAATACAGTCCCTGAAAAAGAATGAATCAAAATCACAGAAGGAATCTCTAGAGGTCAATTTTGAAAACCTCCTCCTTGAAGCAGGACTATCACCAATACTAGATCAGGTTAACCGATGCCTCTTTCTAGCCAATTCTTGAAAATCTCCAAGAATGGGTATTTCACAACCTTTCTGGATAATCTGTTTCAGTGCTGCATAACCCTCCTAGTGAATTTTTTTCCCTTAACGTCCAACCCAAAATTCCCAAGCTGCCATTTACAGCTGTTGTCCCTCGTCACATCTTTTGCTGCTATCAGAAAGGACTTGACTCCATCAACTAATATTTGACGTGGCTGTAGGCTGCAACTACGGTTTTTCTTAGCCTCTATTCTTTGCAGTCTAAAAGAGTCCAGCTCTCTCAGTATGTCCTTACAGATCATCTGCTCTAAGAGTCTTTGTAGCCCTTCTCTGGATCCTCTCGAGTTTCTCACAAACACTCTTGAATCAGGTCCTAGAACTTGTCAGCATTTCTAAGTGCAGTGTTATCAGCACTGAGTAGAGGGGCATAAAGACTTTCCTCTGTTGGTCATGGTCTTCATATGTCCTACTTTGCAGCTGCACTGGCCAGTATGATCAATGCATCCAGCTCAGTAGACAGTTTGCCTTATTTAAAATGACAGTACATGGTTGGCTTATATGCAGTTTGCCATTCCCCAAAGCCTGTGTGTGCTTTTCAGCAGGATTACCACTCAGACTTTTTCTCCAAAACTGTACTGATTCTTGAGGTTATTCCACTCCAATTCATGACCTTACTATTTTCCCAATAATCAAGCTTTTCAAGGACCCTCTAGACCGTAGTTCTACTGTTCAGCATGTCAATCTCTACCTCCTCCAAATGAGCAATATTCTCAAATATGTTGATGGTGAATTCTGTCATGTGTGTCACTGATGAAGGTACTGGCTCTGGTGTACTCTGCTTGCTGGTTGCCAACTGCATGGCAAACCACCAATTATCACCCTTTAAGCTCAGCAATTCAGCCAATTTTCAAAGCACCTGAGTGTGCTGTTCTACCAAGAAAATTCCAAATAAGAGTGCTGTGGGTGATGATGCCAAAAGTCTTTGCTTTAGTGATCCTGAATTGGATGCAGTGAATTCTACTCAAAAAATGATCCGTATTGACTCCCTCTAAGCCAATGTACTATAAAGAACTAGCACTGTGGCACACTGTTATTACTGATGTCTTTGCTTTTAATTTGCCAAATATCTGAACAGGAATTGTATTGAATGGGGTTAAATTTGCAACAGTTTTGTAAACACAGGAAGAAATACAAAGTGAGAAGAGAACTTAAGAGAATGCTACCCTGGCAAGTGTGTGTGAAAAAGCAACTGATAAGCATTTAAGTCTTTCTTTATGTTGGACTCCTCCCACAGCAGTTAGCAAATGCACTATGAAAACCAACTAGATTTGTTTGCATACATTGTTGGAACAGACAAGTACAAGTGTTAATGAATTTTGGAATAAGCTTCTCAGCAGTTATAAGATCAGCTTATAACCCTCATTGTCCTACCTTGCAGCTGCATTGGCCAGTATGATCAACGCATGAGCACTTCCCCAACTCTGTATCGCAGCTCTGTGGATCAGTCCCTGCCAGGAAGCACTGACAAGCAACACACTGTGGATAATTCCAGTAACCCAACCTGCACTCAGTGCATTTATCCCCAGAGAATTCAGGACGGCAGAAGCAACAGCCTGTATTTAAGTCACACTGAGAACTCAGGGCTCCAATGAGGCTGCAGTCACAGGGCTATAAAAGAGAGAAACAAGGAGAAAATTGCAATTGTGCTTCTGAAAAAAAAAACCAAACCCCCAACAAAAAGGCAACTCACCTCTTTCAAGTATCTATAAATAAAGTACAGCAGTGAATTTCCACTGTCCCAAGGTAACATATCTGAATTATAAGGCTAGGCATTATCTTTATTCAACAAGGGTCAAACAATTACACTAAACACATTTACAATGCTGTTTTCTTTTCGAAAAGGTATTACTTATCACTGATAAGTTTGGCAGTGAAATCAAATAAATCCAAAAGGGTCAAGATACTGGGATGCTTTGCGGACATAATTAACTTCAAAACTGTAAGTGCTCTCTAAAAAGTGCTTTCTATGTAAATCCTCTGCAGGGCATGTTCAGACCACTTTGCCAAAACTGGAATTGTTCAGGGGCAGTGATCCCAGTGGAATCTAGTTCAATGTTTATTACTCATCCATCAGACAGGCAACTATCATCTTTGTATAAACAGGGTTCTTATTACATGCTAAGAGAGAAAGATTTAGTCATGTGATGTACTGGGAAGTAAACTTGCTCACAGAATGAGACTTGCACAGGCAGGTAAGGATAGAAATAGGTCATTTGCCAGGAGGTCTAGATATTGAGTACAGAAGTAAGTAGCAGGGAAAGCTGAAGGCTTCTAAAGAACAGAAGAATCCCTCAGTGCTATTACTGTGACTGTACTGCAAAGTTAGCACAGGGTATTTGCTGTGATCACTGGCGTGACCAGAATCTCCTATGGAGAAGTTCAGCTTGCAGAAGCAAACTCAAGTGCCAGTGGTACAGGTTACCACAGTAACTGGCATGGATAGACTTGCTAAAATAAAGGACACAAAAGCTGAAAAAGAGGAGGAAAATGTGGATTCATTTTCTAAGCAAAACTGTTTATTACATGAATACTTAAAGCACCTTTCTTCTGATCTGAAAAGACCATTTATAAAGAAGGTGATTATATACAAGAAACATTCAAATTAAATCTTTACTGAATGCCAGAGAAACTATTTAACTACTGGTTAAATGTTAGGCTGCTAGACTACTACTTAACCTAAGAAATAAAATCTTCTGATGGAAAGAAGCTTATTCTACAAAATACATTTGAACATAGAGCTTAGAAAGCAAATTGTTCACCATACATCGAAATAGCTTTATGTGCAATATCAAAACCTAAATTACAATCAGATGTTATGTTTGTTTTGTGAGCAAGCAGTTTTATGCAATGCTCTCTATCCCTCTGAGTTATGACAGCCCTGGAAATCTTCTACAAAGAGCGCAAGCAGGAGATTCACATCTCACTTTGCAGAAATTAGCTGCAACATACTGAAAGAGATGTGGGCTGATAGATCATTATTAATTTAGATGGTGCCATGGAACTGCCATACTAATGCACTCACATAAACGACAATCACAGAATATACTCCAGAGCTCAAACAGAGGTCTTCAACCTCATTAGGCTGGTTTCAGAAGCCAAGAGTCTATATCACAGCAGCATAGCAGAGGTTTCACAAGAGGAGTTTTCCATACATACAAAAAAGAAATCATTCTTGATAATTAGTTTGCAGCCTGAGCTACATGACAAACAGCCTTTTAAGAAAGAGCGTTAATGGCATATGACCATGTTCAGACAAGACATAGTTTTTTGGAGTAATTGCAGCACTACTATAAACTCCTCGTCATCAATGAGAACAGCAGAGAGGAGAAGGCATTTGAACTTTGCACAAATATTCACTCTCACTAGTTTTCAATCTTAACCAAATACTGCTCCCCTTAACCCAAGAGTAGGATATTAACAGCAGCTTTCATGGCCTCTTTGACATCCTACCATTGTTTTCCTATTCTGCTCCCTTCTTCCCTCCCCTTCAGAATTTTTTTAACCGTGTCAAACACTGGAATAAGGATTTAAGGGCTAATGAGGACGTTTATTTCCCCTTTAAGAACATAGGAAGAAAGTGTGTTTTACAGCTAACGTGGCTGTTTCTTTTCTTCTCTCTTCACTGTCTTTTATGCACAAGTTGAAGCCATTCTCAAGTAAACTTCAAGTACAAATTCCCAGTATCACAATTAGGTCCAAAGTAAATTTGTTCTGCAAAAGCACTGTCAGTTACCTGTAACTATATGTCTATATACATCGCACAATACTGCGGTAATCTCCTCAATCACGTTAATCACAGCGATGATAAAAGAAACCAGGCTTAAGCAGGATACTGACTCAGCATGACAGCAGTATAAACAGGGTGTTCAGTGTTACAGGCTGCGTACCTTTAGGCAGAGGATCTGTAATGCTCAGTAAGAGTTTGCCAACATTTACACCATAGTCTGACGCGAAAACTCGCAATGCGGATTTACAAACCTAAAATTGTGTTCCCGCTACTAATCATTGTATTGACCCCATGGGAAAGAGGCAACACACATGGAGAAAACAGAGATCCACTCACCTTGCAGCCACTGACAATGTTATGGCCCCAGTAGTTTGGTGCACATTTGTCACACATCTCTCCAACAGTATTGGGAGGGCAGATACAGCGGCCACTGATGGGATCACAGTTATTACCAAAACGTGAACACTCACAGGCTTCATGGGACACAGGAGAAAAAAAAAGCAGAGGAAAAGTTAGCCCTTTATGTGACACCTGGAGAGCAGACCCTAACAAGGTTAGGATCATTCCACCAAAGCCTTTACTGTACAGTGAACTCTCAGTTATCTGCGGACACAGTGGGACGGGAAAGGTAGGGTAAAGCCAGAGAAGCCAAAACCAGGAGCAATGGAACACAGGTTAACTGAGGTTTAAGTAGCTGCAATGAGAACAATGGGAAAAATAAAGTCACTGACTGTAGAAATGCAGAGACTTCTGAGATGTCTCACCTACATCACTCATGTGACATAGGTGCAGGAATATCGCTGTGCAGTTTCTGGGCCAATGCTGTCACGTGGAAAAAGCCACCCAACTGCATCTGAGCCCTCTAGGCAGAGAACGTGCAGTTTATTTAACCTCTTCCACCAATCTGAGCCAACCTCCTGAAATTTCTGCTGCTGTAAACAGGCTTTTCTTGAAGAGCAAAAAAGGTGTTTCAGTGTCTTTCTCCCATCCTATTCCTTTTTTTCACATTACACGTATTCTTGCCTTGAGAGGACATCAACAATGTGCCCCTTCCCAAGAAACTGGGATTCTTTGCAGATTTTATTAAATTAAAAATACTTTGGTTCTGGAAGTGGTTCCAAAAGTGGTCTTTGCTCTTAAAGCACTATTAAGTGAACAAGTCATTGGTGGTAAATAGAGATTCATGGTATGTAAATGATAAGTAGTTATGGGGCACAAGACACCTAATTGCTTGGAGGACTAGAGCTGGTGCATGGTTATTTTCATAGCCACCGTCAATGTCACCCAGAAGGTCAGAGCAAAAGCATCATAAGCAAACTGTGACGCTCTGAGTGATAACCTGTTCCTTGGGGTGTTTATACAGCAGTGTAACATAATGTTCATTGCTGACGGCTATATTTATGTTCATTGCCTTTATTGTATTAAATACTTCACTTCAGAGTAAAACTAGGTAATGAGAGATGTGCAAAGGTAGAACTCATCTATAGTTAAATAAGAAGCAACCTTTATTCTTCCCCATCAATGTTATCAAAATAAGATAACTGATGCAAAGAAGATAGTAAGTTTTGCCTCCATCGTGCCAGGAACAAGATGTTTTGCATGCTACATAAAATCCTTTGACAGACTGTGGCTTGAAGATATTTCAGAATATATCTCTCATTGGGAAATTGAGGCTTTTGGGTATGACAGCTCTTCTATGGGCTTTCAGTTCTTAACACAAAATTGGCTCAAAAGACATGGAAGGGAAGAAAGTGATAGAGCGATAGTTTTTGTGTTTTTACTTTTATCATTATTAAAAAGAATATGGAAAAAATAGATTTTTTTAATATATAAATAAAATAAAATAAAGAAAAAATAGAAAAAAATTGTTGCAAGGAATAGTAAAATAGAAACCTCTTTTGTATCTTTCCTGCTAGAACATCAACACTAACTGATGATGTTTTAGGGTTTTTTTTTAGGCTTTACGGTTTTTTATTGCACAAGAAAAGAAATCAAATTATATTCCTTTTGGATAAATGCTAGATAAAAGAGATCCAATATTTTATTCGATACTTAACTGACACTGTGGAATTTATTTTTGTGCACTTTCTCCCTAGCATGATTTGATATACTTTTATTAAATTTCTGATTTTCTCTGTGATTCATAATGTAATTCTCTTTTTTTGTCATTTGAAGGAATACATAAAAGCCTACTAAAAATAAGTAGGGAAAAAACAGCATTTTGAAAACAGAGTTCCTCTCCATCTGTTCTATTAACTTTGAAACTTCTAAAATTCTGAATTTTCTGAACATCTTTAGCTGTTGTGGTTGTTTAAAATACTTGGTGACCACAGGCAGATACATTTCTATTTAAAACATTGTTTGGATTTACACTACTTCCCCATTTCATCACTGTTCCTTAAATGCTGCCATTTCATGTTTGCCAAGAAAGCACTTAAAATTTTAATGTGAAATCTTGTTAATTGCCCTCTCATTTTCCTTCCCCAACTGTATGAAAACAACATTTTGTAGTATTTCGCAATAGTGATGTGTTTTTAAACTGTGAAATGTTAGAGTTAGAGACTAATCATGAAGCCTATAGTCTTCATATAGTTTCTATAGTATAGAAACTGTAGTATTTTTTTCCCCTCTGTATATGTTCTAAGTTTAGGACTGCAGTTACAATGTGCATTTTATTTCAAGCTCTTTCATCAGTGAGCCTCTGAACTAACCTTTCCCTTTTCTAAGGTGCCAATGTGTTTGAACTTTTCAAGGCGGTAAATGTTTTCTGAGCCCTTCCTTCGATGGGAGACAATAACATAGAGTAATGTTTTCAAATATGATCTATAATCCAGCCTGGCTCCAGGTTTATTAACGCTACAGATGAAATTGAATTTTGCTGAACAGATGTGGGTCTTGAGGCCTCAACTCTCCTTCCATAAAAAAAGGGAGTAAAAAACGGCAGAGAGCTAGGCTTGCTGCTTCTGCTGCAATTTTGGGTGGGAAAGGAGGAGGAATAGGACTCCGGGCATGGTGATTTCTGCTTCTGGAAAGAATACAGCTTCTGCCTGAAGAACAATAGCAGCAATACTGTTGGCTTTACAGCACCCTGCCATGAGCAAAGAATGCTGCGGTGCCGTTGCCATTCTGCCATCCCAGGAGCCAGCTGCACGAGACATCCATCTATGTCTCCCATCATCACACCTAAATGAGTCTATGAGACTTTAAAAATACAGTTCTCTTAGTGAAGATGGATATCTCCTTGTGAAGAGACCTATAGATTAGGTTCCTTTTGACCTAACAGTCTGTATTGCTTTAAGGACAGAAAGCATTCATTTCAGTGTTTGACCTAGTGTCCAAAGGACAAACATAAATGTAAAGAAATGGCTGGAAATATTTATGTCTGATGCTAGAGTTTCAGCATCTGGAAAAGCATATTTTTCATGTGTTTACACAAGGGACATAGTAGAGAATTTTACCTGTAGATCTTGTTGTACAGGAAAAGTATACAAGTAAGCAAGATCCTAAATATTACTGTATAGAAAAGTAATAAAAGACGATCAACCATGTAAGGACGGTAAAAAGGTTTGGCATAAATCTATAAGCAAAGCAATTTTAAATACTTTTTTTTCCATTCATATCCCTTCAAGCTGATGTTATTTCGCAAGCACCTTAATCGGCCTTCTCTCATACTGTTATCATAACTAAATTATAGGAGCTTCGTAGGAACTTTTTTGGCAGAAAGCAGTTGGAGAAAAGGACATTCCTGTTCCTTCTAAACATATTAGATTAGCCATAAACTGACCTTAACATAGCAGCAATTGCTTGGGTCTTTTATTCTTGCTAATCACTGTCCTTGCCAACTGATTGATTTACAGGGCTGTCTATGAAAATACCTACCTGTCAGGAAAATTTGTTAGGCAGTCCAAAACCAGACAAACTAGAATCTTAGTAATAAACAAACAAACAAATTTGCAATTGGCTGCAAAGAATTTACATACGAGTACAGCCTCCTTCTTCAAAGTTGTAAAATCCATGAGCACAGCGGTCACACTTCTTTCCTGTCACTCCAGGCTGGCAGTAACACTGTCCATCTCCATCACAGTCAAAGGACTTGGAACCAAAAGAGTTGCAGTTGCAGGGAACACATCCTCTTGAAGACTGCAAGCCAAATGTTTCAGGCTGCCACAGAGGGAAGAAGAGCAGTTAGTACATGGAACGATTACCAGAAGAGAAGAGGAAAAGCTGAGAGCGTAGTGAGGTCAGAGTGGTTCTTTCCTCTTTATCACTGAAATACTACTCTTAAAAGATTGAACTGTAGCAGTAAAACACGGGGGCAAGGGCACTAAATACCCTACACAGCTGAAAAAGAATAAAGATTTCAGTGTTACCTGATGCTATAATGAATGGTCTGCAGTGTAACAGATTTCCTACGAGGCTGTGTTTCCATAGGTACAGTTCCCACAAGAAATGGAATGTATGTCAGCGCCATATACATATCCTGTGTCTGGGTTGTAAGATTATGTCAGGCAGACTTTGTTGCTAAGAGAGTGAATTCAAATTCTCCGCTATGAATGGAGATTGATTCAACTGGAAAGTCTCGAAACAACTAGATTTTATCTCTGAGCAGGGGCAATGTCTGCATAAAGTATTCTGTAACTCAAGGGCATTTCTTTCAAACGATACTTAGGAATAATTTTAGAAGAACATAGATACAACATACTTGTGTACATTACAACCAAATAATGGGAATTATCTGTTTTTAAGATAAAACCCCTGTCTTTGGGTTAGGTCTAAGACTAAGATAGAAGTAATCAATGAGCCTCTGTTTCTCTTCTATGTTCATTCTTCACTTTCTTTTTTTGCATTGAGTACTGTAAAGTTCCTACAGAAGCAGAATAATTGTTATCAACTACAGTAATAAATTTCCTCCTTAATTCCACTAGTGGAGTGCAAAAAGTATACTTGTAAAAAGCAAAGATGCATGCTCATTTGTACACTGTAATATGGAGTTCTGCATGAAGCTTTTAACGAACAGAACCCATGGGTTTCACTGCGCCAGCTAACAGAGGCCCCTAGGAGCAAACCGTACTCGATACCCAAATTATGAACTTAGTTGAGCTAGAGTGACTTAAAATGGGAGTATTTTTCTACCTTTTTTTCAGGTATGATGATTTCCAGAGAATACTGAAATCCAAATCATATTACTAACCACTTGAAATTGACATTACAACATTTAATAGTAAAAATCTATCAGAGACTTTGCTAGGAAAGCAAAAATATTAAAAATGAGATATTAAAAAGATCACTGCTAATGAATATAAATAGAAATATTTACTTTTATAATATATACTGTGTGACCTAAGCATGTGGTGGTAGATTTTTACCTAGTATACATTAGCACAAATTTTTCAAGTCAGTGGAGCTGCACTGACTTACATTTTATATGGGTTTGTTCCACAGTGGAACCCCTAACCTCTTGTGTAGGTGAATTCCCAGAGGCTTCAGCAGGTTTCCATGTAAAAGTCCTGAAATCTGATCTCTGAGGTTAATATTGAAGTTCCAAATTCCCATAGAGAATCTGATGGTAGGTATCAGAATACAGGACCACACCTGCTGTCAGAATTTGGCCTGAAGGATCATATGAATTATGATTGATCATATACAATATAATAAAGAATTACCCTGATTTTCATTTCCAAATTCTATACTGAAATGTTTTGCCGATTACATACTTCGACATGACAGAACACGGTGTGTCAGAGAGAATGAAATACTCAAACTCATAGAATTAAACTCCAAGGTTCAATTAAACATAGAGACTATCTCTAAAGATTTCTTTTCCACAGGAAGAAACACACAGAAACATGAATATGTAAAAATCTCAGGACAGACATTCAGATTAATGCAGTGAAGTCACCAATGCACAGCATGCAGCTCAGTTCTCAATAGAAAGTTTGATAGGATCTAATAAATTCTGTTTATATGGGTGAAAGCCAGAAAAAGTCTGATACACTAGCACTCCACACTGCGTAAAGGAAGAAAAGATCACTGGCATGCTGGGTTGTATTGTGATGAGCTCTGCACAGCGAAAGACGTTTGTATCAGTCATGCAAACCCCCAAGATGAATCCTCAAGTTGAGCCCTCAGAAAAACTTGTTTACATACAGAAGTTCTGAGAATCACATTTTCCAAACAAGAGGTAAGAACCTAGAAGACAATGAGGAAATATGACGAAATTTCTGAATGTTATTATATTGTGTGCCTGTATGTTGAGTGTTTGTGTGGGCAACACATAATATATGTTAAATGGGTAAAAGCTCATGTTCTCCAAGGGAATCCATACGAGCAAATACAACATGGGTCCCAGAGTCTGGCCGAGAAGAAAAAACACTGCCAGGTATTTTTCAAACTGGGTTTGATAAGTGTGGAGGTTTTGAGTTGCAGCAAAAAAACCCAACATTCCCGAAACACTGTTCTGTTAGAAGCAGTTGCATCATAATTACTTCATTTTAGGAAATAAGTTGCTTTGTTGGTATGTGATAAACAATGAATACTTCTGTCATTGTGGGCATTACATTCAAATAATGGGAACTTTGCCCAGTTAAAAATGGCTCAGATAACTGGCCATATTCACTAATGAAAACTTTCAACACCACTTATGTTTGATATTTCGACATTTGATCTTAACATTTTGCCTCTGGGGTTGGTCCTTCTCACAAACTCCTCAAGCTTTTGGTTTTTGGATTGTTAGAAGAGGAATGCCATGAAAATCCCACTGATTCCATTGCTGTGAATACATACATTTTCACGCATACATTTTCTGCATACTGCTGTTGATGGTGCCGCTTTTGGACTTATTCTGGTTATTTGACTTCTGGCCTATATTGTCATTTGCACTATGAGAAGCCCTAGGAGTGCAGAAGTATCCTAAAAGGCTACCTGTCTTCTGAGCCTGTGTGTTTCTTGATAATGTCATATATTGTAGCACGTGTATTATAAACTTAAAAAAAAACCTGCGGGAGCTCCAAACACAAGCAAATTACGAGATTTCAGCCCATGCAATGCACACAGTTTCTGATTACCGGAGTAGCAGGCCGGTAAGCACCCCGTGGGCACCCACTGGCACTGCTGACGCCCCATCTCCGAGGGGGGACTCGGATCTGCTGACTGCTTCGTGCATTTTCTTTCAATTTAGGCACCTGTCTGCTGATTTCACAGCGTCTGCCCATGAATCCTGATTTGCAGATACATCTTCCTGACATATCACATTGCAGTGACATGGATCCTAAAGCACTGCAGCCACAGGGTATACAAAACAGCTTTTCTGGGGCCCAGAAGTAGGTGGGCTTTAAGAATGAAAAGTAAACAGTTAGAAAGTGAAGATAATGAAACTACAGCAAATAAAAGACTACAGGAATAAAGACAATAATAAACACAGTAGTAAACAAAGATTAATTCCAACCAACAGCCAATTTTGTATCAACAAGCTTGACATATTTGCTGTGTATGTTATACAACCTGTGCAAATTCCACCGATATCGACAATTTTTCATGGAACGGACTCTTTTAAGTACTGTTGAATAAGAGATTCTGAGCAAACCTCTTCAGAAATTACGCAGTTTATGCAGGATGAAAATGATCCTTGTGATTTCTGCAGAATGATTTATGTGCTTTAAATTACACATATGGAGGTGTTCTGAGGACACAGGCCTAATCCACAAGTCCTCACGCTGAGCTAGAGAAACATGCAGCGCACTAGAACATATTCCTTAGTAGCCTAAAGAAAACTCTGTGAATGCTCATGAAGCAGTTTTTTTCAGTGATTTATATGACAGCAAAACAACCTCAAGGCAAAAGACACTTTCACCAAAAAAGAATACTTAATTTGGACAACACATGAAGAACCCCTAACAAAAACCATAAAAGCAGAACATTCACACAAGTAGTAAACTAGCATTCTGCTTTTTTTGAAAATCAGGTGTTATCAGGCATTTTGCAACTCTCTTCATAGAGGGATTTTCCCCCAGAACTGCAATACTTTTAACTAATTTATTTATATCAAACTTTCAGAATATAAAGTGTATATACCATCTATAAAAATGTGCATACAGTGAGGGCTAAAATGTGCTCATTGCATGCAAATGCAATGTTCTTCATTTTGTTCTAGAAAACCTTTGGAAAACATTTAATAACCAGCTATTTTATCTTTCTGTACATAAGAACAACCCATATATGTTCTTTAAGTGAAAAACAAGCAAAAACTGAAAAACTATCCAAACTCAAACTGTATTTAGTCATGACAAACAGGGAAGAAAACTGGGAGAAAACACCATTTCTTGTCACTCACCTTGCAGACATCGCACCGGCGCCCAATCACGTTGGCTTTACACTCGCACTGGCCTGTCCGAGAGTCACAGATCTCTGAGAAGGAGCCATTGATGTGACAGTGACAAGCTGCAGAGGAAGAAGAAGGAGCTGTCAATGCATTTCCTAACATATGTATGCTGCTGAAGCTAACCTTAACAGCCAAATGTTTACAGCGCAGCTTTTGCCACCCTGAGAAACCCAAGAAGGCAGGCCTGGGTAAAGCAGAAGGTGTTATTCCCATACAGTGACAACACACATTAATCCACCAATGTTAATGTGGAATTTTGCTCCAAATTATTACAGTGAGAAATTTTGCCTCAACTTCATAAACAACTTGTCTTATATGCTCCTTTCAGATCAAAACAGAACGTTTAGGGCACATTATTAAGTATGTCATGATGGAGAATTAAGGTTTTAAAAGCAGTAACGTTGCCTTTACATTTTAATTAATGCCAAATTTCTGGACCAAGGAGGGGGGAAGGCAAGGCTCGCTCTCTCTCAGAAGCTGCTCCCGCAGAACACCCCAAATCTTGGAACGGGCAGGGCAGCACTGTGAGAAAAAAAAATGGTACAGACCCTTACACAAGCTATGGCAGGCGGGGTTGTGTCCTGGTTTTCAGCTGGGATAGAGTTAATTTTCTTCCTAGTAGCTGGTATAGTGCTGTGTTTTGGACTTAGTATAAGAATAGTGTTGATAACACACTGATGGTTGAGTTGTTACTGAGTAGTGTTTATACTAAGTCAAGGACTTTTCAGCATCCCATGCTTTGCCAGCAGGGAGGTGCACAAGAGGCTGGGAAGGAGCACAGCCAGGACAGCTGACCCAGACTGGCCAAGGGCATATTCCATGCCATATAACGTCATGCTCAGTATATAAACTGAGGGGAGTTGGCTGACGGGCAGGAACTGTGGCTCAGGAACTGGCTGGGCATCGGTCAGCAGGTGGTGAGCAATTGTATTGTGCAGCACTCATTTTCTATATTATTTCATCATCATTCTTATTATTAATCCCTTCCTCTTCTGTCCTGTTAAACTCCCTTTATCTCAACCCACAAGTTCGTTGTTTTTTTCCCCCCCATCCCACTGGGGGTGGGGAGGGTGAGGAATGAGCGGGCGAGCGGCTGTGTGGTGTTTAGCTGCCTGCCTGTGCTACTGCCCCGCATGCTGGTCCTGCTGCCCCGGAGTCCAGCCCCTGTTGATGCAATAGGCAGGAAATGTTGGCAGGCTGAGAACCCGGAACAAGGCTACCTCCAGGGCCGTGCTGTGGGGGCAGTAAGCTCCTCGGCCCCCGCAAAGAGCTCCTCCTCACAGACAGCACCCTGGAGTACAGCGGAAGAAGAGACTGAGGATTATCTGCTCCCATGACCCCCTGGTACCTCTGTCTCAGCAACAGCATCACAGTTCCCAGAGGAAATGTAACCCAACTGACCAGTCTAACTCATCGCAACGCTCTCCTGAGGATTGAAAATGACAATGAAAGGAGCTACTGTTTCTGGAGGAAAATAACAATGCTTTTGGATTCTAAATTCTCATGTTTTAGGAAAAGAGAAATTTTTGGGAAGTTTTCTATCTTTCAAAAAACCATTTATGGTTTTTGACCACGATTCTTTTGGCATGCAGAGATTAAGAAAAAAATCCCTTTAGCACTTACAGTAGAGAAAAGGGATGCAATCCGGTGTCACAGGATCATGCAGTCACCAATTCCGTCAGTGTGAGCTGGTTCCTGCATGTCCTTTTTTTTCCCAGAGGGGAATGAATCCACACCTCTATATTGATTATCAGTGTACTCTGTAAACAAGGGCTCCAACCCACATTTTGCCTTCCCATAGTGCCCTGACTGCATGTGTTGGTCTTTTTCTCAATGTGACAGCTTCATTTTAAGAAACACTTAAGAGTCCCAACAGTGAACACATGGTGGTCACATACTTGCATGTCACAAGGTGCCATTTGAGACAAAGCAGTTATTTTTTCTATATATATACTATTACAGACAAAGCAGTTGTATTTTTTCTCTCTGTATATATAGTATTACAACAGGAGCTTCCTCATTACTTTATTGGACTTGCTATATTGTACATGGAAAGGATTATTTTCTGTTCTTTTCCCCACTTCTGAGGTATTCTGCAGAATTTGCTTCTTTTCAATGAAAGTGACTTTATGGCTTGCCAGTCTGTTCCTCGCCTTATTTCTCAAATGTTTGCAAAGATGTCTCATATTCTGGAATAAGTAACAAAAATACGTTGGGTTCTCTTATCAGCCTGGTAACACCTTCAGAGGTTTTGATTTCTTTCTGTTTTGTGATATATTTAAAAAATGTAAACATTTAAAAACACTTCTGCTGTAATTAACATCACTTCTCTTTTCCTTTTACTCTCATTTTTCAGCACTAACTGAATCCGTAATTTATCTCTTTCATCCAGTATACAGCCCTTCTACCATAATATTTATGTTTTAAAATTGCCGACACTCCAAACTGTACACAGTGATGAGTATCACATATACACATATTTGAGTATCTTTCTAATTAAAATGGTCAGCAGTGAAAGCTGATTCGTAAGCACAAACTCAGAAAACCACAATTCTCAATGCAAATTAACAGTGTTTCATCACCCTTTTTATACAGACCTCAAAAAACAAAGCCTGTCTTATTTGAATCATTTTGCTTATCAGGCATATGACACCACCGAGAATCAAACCAAGGAAATTTACGCCGATTTTATAAACAGATGAGTTTTTCGTATTTATATTATCTATTACCACAAACAGAATACCATCTATTCTTAACTCAGCCACAGACGACAGTGCAGTACAGTGGTAAGGCAGAATTTGGAAGTCAAGACTTTGATTCTTTTTCTTGGCTCTGGTAGTACATACATACAGAAGAAACATACAGTGAGAGCTATTCATCTACTAAACTGTTAATTAATCTCTGAAATTGCATTTATCTCACCTAAAGCCTTCCCATTCATACACTTCTCCTGGGAAAATTAGTTATTGTCCAAACCTCCAAATTGTTGCTATAATACAATACAGCCTGTCAGAGACATTTGTCTTCCTTTCTCCCAAAATGTCACTGGTCAAGACCCTTCTCATTCTCTCTTGATTTGTATAAATATTTATACGTGTATATTTATAATCAACCTACACACATATTCACCTCTCAACAGTAGTACCTATGCACTGGCACCTAGGCACACTTGAGCATTTGCTTTAATTCACCTCATGTCACTTAGCCCTACTACTATCAGCACAACCTCCAGGTATTTGCTTCAGCACACTGTGCTGTTTCATACCAAAACACAACCTACTAGAATCAAGTCAAATAAGCCTAGGACATTTGCTCAGTGTTCTTAGATGTATTATTTTGTACAGATACAGCAAGAAATTCAGAGGTGCTGTAGTGATATATTGTTGTACTGTCATTTGAAATGGTTAATGCACATGACAACAGCACTGTACTGAGAAAGAGCATGAAAGATTTCAAACAACAAATTGAAAGCAAAATTCATGCTTTTCAATACTCTCGGATTTGGCTTATTAATAAGGAATGAAATTGAAAACAACAAAGTAAAGGCACAGTCCCTCTGATATTGTAGCTGCAGGGCAAACTTCATGGAAGTCTGCAAAGGAAATAAAAAATCATATGCAAAAAAGAAAACCGACATGAAAGATGGAGAGTAGATGAATACAAGGTAACTGTGAGCACAAGGCTATGAATACATTAGGGGGCTCTCCTTGTGAATGATACTAACAACAAAAGAAAACTTGTAAATCTACATTAAATATGTATTTATTTTTAACATTTTTTTTAATTGTAGGTTTTCTTAACTCTTCTCATATTACATCTCTTTCCCATGCAGCTGCCACTACTGTAGAAGTGTTCAAAGCAACAGTCCTATTGATGTTTCAGGAGTGGTGACAAGCTACTGGAAGCTATGATTTTTGAAATACACTTCTTTTTAAATCACATTACACACTTAACACCCTAACTTATATGACATCATTCATCATGAACTGTTAACTCATGCAGAGAACGTATGTGATTGTCCAACTCATATCCAGCATTGTATAAAGTAGGTGCAGAAAGCATATACACAAGTATACATCTTCATGGCTACCTATGATTTTACATATATCAACATTTATTAGCCTTAGCTGAGAAACCTGGTGATGTTCTGCATCTCACTGGCTCCCATGCAGTCTTAGGTGGTCCAGGAGAACTTAGTATTCTCACTGTCAAACCACAAGCCACTAAGAGCAAATCCTGGAAATGGATGGATGCCAGTGGCTCAGACATTTGTGCCTGCAACACATACTTCAGAAGTGGCCCCTGTGTTCCTACATACAGAGCAGTAAGACAATGGTTCAGCTCTTTTACTTGCATAATTTTATCCTGATATAACACCTCCAACAACATTGGAGTTGCTCTGAGTTTATTCCAATGAAAGAAAAGGATTAAATCCTTGTGACTGTGAAATAAAATACTCTGCTTTTTCAGGACAGTGTATAACCTGTTGTATTCCATTCCTCAGAATGGGGTGGAAGGGTATGTGGAGAATGTTTTTAAATTGAAAGCACTTGTTCTGCCTAATAGCCATGCTCTGCACTGTGCCAGAGTCCCTCCCTCTGACAGACGCAAAAGCTCCTGCTCCTACCAAATCTTCCACCTACTCTTAATTTCTTGCAGTCACTATGGGGAAGTATGAACTGGGGCTCATACTTAAACATGGCACCACTCAGCTGAGAAGTGGTAGCTTGCTGCAGTGCCAGGTATCTTCCTCCAGAGCACCTTAGAAAATTTGTCGGGAGATTTTAGCTTCTGCTTTGCAGGAGGTGGGAGAATCTTGCCCTGTAAGAGGCAGTAGCTCCCAACTCTTACCAAGGTCATGTAGGTGGGAAGCAGGTCACAAGTGCTGCCAAATTTGGACCCTACAGTAACTGAAATATCACTCCCTCCTTTCAGCACCATCTACATGGCTTATAGTGTTTTTAGTGAATCATTTTCATGTATTTGTATTTATTTTTGTAGATCTGACTTTTATTATAACCTTTTGCATCCATTCAATGCTCCGCTGTCCCAGGTTTTTTCCATGTCTGCTTCATTACTGCTTTAACTACAACAGGGAGTTTTTTAATAGGTTCTTCTTTCTATTTACTTTGAAGTTTCCCTCTCCAGATGCAGATGCAAGTAAAACACTATCATTATTAGAGGTGTAAGTACACCGTGTCATTCTCCTGATCACACATACAGAGGCACAGTCTTCCTCTCAGGAAAACAGATATAGGATAGATCAATACTGTCAGGAGCAGTAGAAGTTCATGACTTACGTTGACAGTTCCTTGCATGAAGAGCATCGCCAAAATATCCATCAGCACACCTCTCACAATATTGGCCTGTTGTACCTGGCTTACATATCAGGCAAGCACCAGACAAACTGTCACAGCTGCCAGGAATGGAGAAGTCAAGGTTGTCATTACACGGGCATGGCTGGCATGATCCCCCTGGTATTAGAGGTTGTCCAAAATAGCCTTCTGCACACCTAACGTAAAAGACATCACCAGTTAGGACCCTTAAATAATTGTCTTATTAGAAATATTAATATTATTGCCTCACTAATCACCAAAAATGATTTGATCTTCTTAAGCATCTTTTTTCTCTCTCCCTTCTCCTTTTTAACAACACTGTAGATAAGGTACCAGCTGAACTCCTGCCAGGTCTGCTAGTAATTAGCTTTCAGTGGGACAAAAATCTTGTCACTGGCACTGAAGACGACAGAAAGCATAATAAGAAATCCATCTATTGGCACACTAGAGGAATTCAGGTCCGTGTTACATAGGCTTTGTATTTCAGCACATCATGTCTAGATGTTCTGTACTCATTTATCAGCAAGGTTGATAATTTTTTCCCTATACCTTACAAATTCATTTAGTTTACAAAAACAGGTTTAGAAAGTAATACAGTCATAAATTTGTTTACCTAACAAGAGCCTCCCCTGATTTAGCCTTCCCCTGATCTACTGCATGGTCAGATTTGTCTAGTTAACGGATTGCTAATTTCTGTGTGTAGGCAGGTAACAAGAAGATTGCTCATTACCACAGGAACTATGCTGGTGTGTACTATACCTTTCATATTTTAACAGAGGTGTTTAAAAATATCACCTTCTCTTCTACCTTGCCCACCAGCAATTTCCTGCGAGTACCATGTAAAACAGGTTAGCAAATCTGACTTAACATGAATGTGTATTTAAAGCAAATTTCTACTCATCTCACAGCCTATTTCCAATTTATATTCTGGTTTGCTTTCCCTTTCCATTACATTTGCTCACACTTCACAGTAAGAGCAACTTGCAGGTAGTGAAGAAAAATAACAAAAAATGCCCAGTTCCAGCTAATGAAGTTATTCATGTGCATCTCAGATGAACTCCAATTAACGTAAAGAAAACAGAAAGTACATGAAACACATTGCATAAAATAATGCTCCCTAGTATTTTAAAGTGGGTTTGAATGCAGCTCTAACGGTTAAACAGGGATTTTGGGTACCATCCTAAGACAGGAATGCAGAGGTCCACTATGCTTTCACTCTTATGCCTTTATGCTCATGAAGTCCATCCTTTTCCTTGCATCCAGAATATCTCATGAAGCTTCCAACTGGATCCTAAACAAAGCTGTCTAAACATTTTTAAAATTATTATTCAATATCATAGAAAAGATTATAAAAATGGATAACTGAGACTACAGAGGAAATTATAGATGGATCTAACTGAACATTTTTTTGCAGTAAGTTATTACACAAAGTAGGACTGATTTTTTCCATTCTCTAAAAATACCCACAATGCAGACCACAGATGAATACTATGTATAAACAGTCCAGTGGTTTGGGTGCATGTAAGCACATGCAAGAACATGTGTGAAAATTCTCACAATGTAGCCAATTGTGCTTTACTCCTTTTGCATAGCCATCTCTAACAATTACCTCCTCATTGCAACAATACATCAAAATCTTGCCATTAGAATAATTCAGGCATTATATTTTCAGAACCTGTCATGAATGTAGCCATGTATTGTACCTCCTTGTATTCCTTGCAAAGAAATGGATCTCTTTTCCTTGGATGGAGGATATCTCAGCAACCACAAAAGACTGACAGCTTACTTTGGCCAAAGCAATTTTTTTCAGCAATGATATCTCAGTTACAAAGGCCAGGAATGTCTCTTAATACATGTAACAATTAATATCCATGTTTTATCAAAGACAAAGAATAACTGGATAATTTAAGTAGTTTTTTTACCTAAAACAGATGATGTATGAAGTTTACCCACACTGAGATCTTTCTCACTTATTACTGGTGTATTTGTCATAAATTTGTATCTTTTGATACTACGAATCTATTTGACTTCACTTAATATGTATTCATTTTCTTCTTTCATTTTCACTTAGGGGTTAGTTCTGTATCTGATAGCATTCACAGAAACTTACCAAGCAGTTCACAGAAAAAGTACTCCAGGGATTTGTGAGATATGCACTGCTAATCATTTCCTTCTATTAATAGCAGGAGACCTTGATAACTCTTCATATTCTCATCAGTTTAGACTTTGCTAATTACAATTAGCAAACCCCACTATAATCACATAGCTATGCTCTACTTACATACATACATAATCTCAAATCCAGATTCAAGATGATCCTGAAAGGATGGGTAAACCAGTTTGGCTTAAAAGAAAACCGTGTGCCTACACCTATGTGTAAATTCTTCCACTTCTCTCCCACTTCTGAAGTTGCAGGTGAAGATTAAAAAAATCTACTTTCACTAATTCCATCTTTATTCCCTTGAAGACATTTCTACTTCAGCTACTCTTCTCAGACTCAAAGTATTACAGGTTTGACAAGGTTCATATTAAAAAAAAAACCAAACAGTAATGCATGTGGCATGTAAAATTACATTTATGTATTACACAAAATGCATATCTAAATAAATGACTGCTAAGTACAACGGAACACCTCTGAGATGAAAAAATAAACAAAAATAGGAGTATAAGCAGTGAAGAAAGATGGTTTCCATATTTTTCTTTCCTCCTCTATGCTTACCTTTACCCTCAAATGCAGGTGTGTCTGTGACTGGCACTCTCTGTCCTCATTTGGCATAACTAGTGCCAAATACAGGGCTACTATATAAATATATGTGTATGTATGTGTACTGGATCTGGCTGGGATGGAGTTCATTTTCTTCATAGCAGCCTGTGTGGTGCTGTGTGTATACACATATATACACACAAACACAGGCCTATTTTATACATTTCTTTATATTTACTAGGAAAAAAAAAAAACACAATCCTTGAGACAGAGCTAATTTAGGCTGCAAATCCAAACACTTTAAAGTCTGGAAATACTATTTTTACGGTTGCTTTAAATATGTGCATTCAACCTGTGTACAAAATTGGGCAAAAGCCCTGTGGAGAAACAGCTTTTAACACAGTTAAAAATCTTACCTCAGGTGCACAACACAGATGTTGCTGTTGTATGACCAACTATAAATCTCGCCTTTTCTAACATCAGAGTGCACACCTTTGCGAGCTGTAAACAATCCTGCATATAACACATTTGTTGTATCAAACCTCCTGATTGTGTGACCCTTTTCCCATCAGCACTGCAATACAGACTTGTACTTAGAACCATAGAATCGTAGAACCATTAAGGTGGGAAAAGACCTTTAAGATCATAAAGTCCAACCCTCATCCCGACACCACTGTGCCCACTAAACCATGTCCTGAAGTGCCACATTTACACGTTTTTTGAACACTTCCAGTGATGGTGACTCCACCACCTCCCTGGGCAGCCTGTTCCTCTTACTTCTGGCACTAGTGGAAGAATTACATTAGCTAGAAGGAGCAGCAAGTTGAAGCCAAGGGACTTACAAGGGACTGTGGCTGTGGGCACTCCGTGCTAGACCTAAAAAAGAGTGGGGGGAAAAGGAAGGACATGACCAAGCTCACCCTTTTCCTTCCACTTAAGTCACACTGAGCTCACATCTCTCCTTCTAGGAGGAAAAGGTCACTGGGACCATATTAATAAAAGGAGGGGTGCTACAGGAGAAGTTAGACTCTCACCTATTTTGCTTCTTTCCCCTAAAACTGCGTGCTCTTGTCTATATCAAGACTGTGTAGTTGGAAAAGGCATGTCATCATCCTGTAAATGTGTTGGGCTCAAAGGCCAGCTTTTTTACAGTCTCATACACCCTTTCTATGGAGTTAGGGTCTGTCCTACCTCATATCCCCTGGGAAAGTGAGCAGTGAGCAAAGGAAAAATGTAAGTCTAGTTCCTTGGAAAAAGGATTAAATGGGGAAGCTGGATTTTCTCTACAATTATATGTTGGTAACTCCCAAAGTTTATAACTGCAATTATTTTGATAATGTCAGGAGCCAGACCCCTCAGAACATTGAGCAATTTTGACAACATTTTCCTGAAGAGTTCAAGTGAGAGAAGTAGCTTTTTTTTTTTTTTGACATTTTACAATGCAGATGTGCATATGTGTATATATATATAAAAAATATAAAAGATCTTTTCTCCCTAGGGGGCAGATGACGATTTTGGTAGCCAAATAAGTACAGTACTGTGTATGCTCACTTCATGATACTTAGTATGTCATGACAATTTAGGACTGTTCAGTTAATGAATCATGTGGCTTAGATCACTTGTCACTTTGCAGTTGCTAAAATGAAAGAGAATTTCATGTAAACTCTTTTAGCAATTATACAATCACTATTAATAGCAGAAGGCAACATGCATTCTCCTGTTCGTTATTATTGGCAGCTGTGGGTATTTCCAAGTAACTTGTTACAATTAAAAGCAAATAGTTCTATGAGCATTGGAATTAATGGCCTAATTTCCAATGGATTTATGTCTCATGGTTACAAGGCTATGGGCTGATTATTTGCTGCAGGATGTTGCTGTTCAGCAGGAAGTAACCCCTCAGACTACAGCAGTGCTTTTTCCTTGCCCTGTGAAAGTTTTCTTATGGGCAGAACATTTTAATAATCTCTCTCGTTCTCTCTCGCTCTCATGTATTCTCTGCTGTTTAATCAGGTATGAGTTCACACAGTATTCTCTGCCTTAGCTATGACATGTTCAGATTTATTAACCTCTATTCAGCCACTTCTTTTCATGAAACCTTCAGGAGCAATTATCATCTTTGAGACCTCCTGCTCTTCTGTCAAATTTGGTTGGAATTGACCTACAAGTTCAAATGTCTTTGCGGGCAGCCAGACAGACATGCACAAAAAGATCACACTAGCTTCATTTCCTTAGGAAATCAGGCTAAAAATCCAAGCCTGCCACTTATTCAGATTCTGTCCTACTGCATCTACTTTTGGAGCCTTTGCTCCACTCAGAAATAGCACTTGTTGCTAATGGAAGCTGTCAATGACCCTGCATTGACAAACTGCCATCAAAGTGCTCTTGATGCAATTTATTCCTGCCATCATTAACTTCACAGCCCACCAGCTGAAAGAAAGTGATGACTTCCAAGACAGACAGGAAAAGACAGGC